TTCAGATTAACTCTTATTACTATGACCATCTGACCGTTAGATGTTCAGATTAACTCTTATTACTATGACCATCTGACCGTTAGATGTTCTGATTAACTCTTATTACCACCACCCACTGTCCCTCTTATATGTTCAGATTAACTCTTTTTACAATCACTACAAAATCCTCTTAGGGGGAAGAACTTTAATTCTCTGGAAGCCTGTATAACCACCTAGGCCAGTTCCTCAGGCAGAAAGATGCCAATTTTTAGGAGGATGGAATCATGAAGTTGCCACTTAGATGAAATAAAATGGCACATTTGATTGTATAAATCTATGTGAAAATGATAAATATATTTTTATATATCAAGAACAATTTTAGGAAATTTTTGTCTTTCTTATTATTTCCATCTGTTATCTCAAAAGCACGAGATAGATAGATAGATAGATAGATAGATAGATAGATAGATAGATAGATAGATATAAGAACAGACTATAAAAGTGTCATATAGGACATAAATGAATGGAATTGTCCATTTATATAAATAAGCTGAGTTGAGGAGAGTTAGCATTAAGTCAATTGCTATGTGTACCATCATAAAGTAAACCTTTTATTTTATGAGTAACCTATGAGTTTGTCTTCTTTATTTATTTCCCTATGTTATCTCGAAAATGCAAGATAAAAGTTGGCGACTAGGATTCAAATACAACAGTTGGTGATGAATGATTCAAGATGCAACAGTAACCATTTGCGTCTTAAACTGGCCTTGTGCCACATCCAGCCCTTTGGGGAACTCGGGTAAATAAGCAGAGTTAGCATTAGGTCAATTGCTAAGTATACCTTCATGTAGTAAACGTTCTATTTCATTACTTACCTACACGTTTGTCTTCCTTATTTATTTCCCTCTGTTATCTCAAAAAGACAAGATACAACAGTCACACAAAGAAAATCTTCTCTTCATCGACTTTGGCATAGATTTTTATAAAATAAATCTATGTATAACTATCTAAATATTGTATTTGAAATGTACTTAAAACAATGCTACAAATTTTTATTCCAACTCAATACAAACACTTTCTCTAATATATATATATATATATATATATATATACATTACTCCAAAATTCACTTGAGGGTGAAATGGAACTAATATCTTTAAATATCTTTAATTTAATCACAAAAAATTTATTTATATATATATATATATATATATATATATATATATATATATATATACTTTATTTTAGGATATTACATTGAAAACATGTGAAAAAACACTACACAAATGCAATCATGTTACAATGTATATTAAATGTGACAAAGTGGAAAAAGATATAAACAAAGCCTTTAGCTGACAGAACATCTACTTTTGGCTTCTTTAGGATAGAATGAAAAACAAAACTGTATGTAAGGAAAATGCATTGGTTTCTGTGGAGACCAGCAATCAAATTATCTTATCAGAGCTGATGACCAGAATGTGTCTGTATATATATATATATATATATATATATATATATATGAAAAATATATCGATATATGAGAAATATATATATATATATATATATATATATATATATATGAGATATATATTGATATATGAGAAATTTATATATATATATATATATAAATGTTGGTATACCTTGGCTCAGGTATAAAGATAAACTGAAAAGCAACCTTTCTTGTGTCAACATTTCATTCAAGAATTTTGAAGAGGTAGCTATGAAGAGATCAGAGTATCATTCTAGCTGCTATTCAGGAATAATGCACCATCAAGAAGTAAGCATCAGTTGACTGCATGAAACACAAAATCAAAATAAGACAGCTAACAGTTTTCCTACTGCACTTGGATACAATACATTCTCCTGTACTGTTTGTGGTCTTATGTGCAATTCTTGAGCTGGTCTTGTGTGCAATTCTTGAGCTGGTCTTGTGTGCAATTCTTGAGCTGGTCTTGTATGCAATTCTTGAGCTGGTCTTATGTGCAATTCTTGAGCTGGTCTTGTGTGCAATTCTTGAGCTGGTCTTATGTGCAATTCTTGAGCTGGTCTTGTGTGCAATTCTTGAGCTGGTCTTGTATGCAATTCTTGAGCTGGTCTTGTGTGCAATTCTTGAGCTGGTCTCAAAAGTTATGCTCATCGTAGGCATGCAGATAGCTTGTGGTTGTCAGAACCTCATATATCAAACTCGATGGGAAAGGCCATCATATATATGTATATATATATATATATATATATATATATATATATATAACCATAAGACTGTGCCTCCTAGAGCCACGACTACTATCACCAAGCCCGCCAACTGGAGCATTAGAAGCGGATCAAGCAACAATAAATACATAATAAGTAGGAGGATTTGATAAACATATAAATGAATAAATTCATTGAGTCCGATATAAATCTCAACTGAAAAATAGAGGAAGCACTGGACGGCCGTTTCGTCCTATAATTGGGACTCATCAGCAGTGCGCATCCACCACAGGATATCGAAACCCTGACAGCTGGGTTGTCAAGCAGACAACATACCAACTGTACCAACCGGGCCTCGACACCGAAGAGAATCATATCAGACCCACATAGCGCCACTCACTCACATATTCCGTGGCAGAACTACTCCTGAGTTCAATATATAACCATAAGACTGTGCCTCCTAGAGCCACGACTACTATCACCAAGCCGTGCCAACTGGAGCATTAGAAGCCGGATCAAGCAACAATAAATACATAATAAGTAGGAGGATTTGATAAACATATAAATGAATAAATTCATTGAGTCCGATATAAATCTCAACTGAAAAATAGAGGAAGCACTGGATGGCCGTTTCGTCCTATAATTGGGACTCATCAGCAGTGCGCATCCACCACAGGATATCGAAACCCTGACAGCTGGGTTGTCAAGCAGACAACATACCAACTGTACCAACCGGGCCTCGACACCGAAGAGAATCATATCAGACCCACATAGCGCCACTCACTCACATATTCCGTGGCAGAACTACTCCTGAGTTCAATATATAACCATAAGACTGTGCCTCCTGGAGCCACGACTACTATCACCAAGCCGCGCCAACTGGAGCATTAGAAGCCGGATCAAGCAACAATAAATACATAATAAGTAGTAGGATTTGATAAACAATATATATATAAATATATATATATATACAATAAAATATAAGATTAGGAAAATTTTTAATAGAGATACTGTAAAACTAAGCTACTGCTGTACCAATAACCTAAACAGCATTATATGAAAACACAACATGAGGAAATTCAAGACAGCCATTAATAGCAACACTATTAATACAATCCCTTGTAACTGCAGGAGCAAAAACAAGTGCCCTTTGAAAGGTAGCTGCAATGTCGCAAGCGTGGTATATGAGGCAGATGTAGAGGATCGCATGGGACAGAAGAAAGTGCATATAGGGTATTCTAAAGGCACGTTTAAGAATAGGTGGTACAACCATAAATCCCCCTTCAAACTGGAGAGCCACAGCAGTTGTACTAATCTGACAAAATATGTGTGGGAATTTAAAAAGAAATACCATCAAAGCCCCAGCATAAAATGGAGTGTATTAAAGAGAGTTAAGCCTTACAGATGTATTGGTAATATTGATAATATTTATAGGCTCTGTCAGGAAGAGAAGCTGGTCATCGTGACATACCCAGACAAGACAAACCTGTTAAACCAATGGTCTGAAGTGATGTCCAAATATAGACATACCAATAAATATACTCTGAGCCAGTAAGAGCACAGATAAACATTTTTTTTTTCTTCCTTCAGTTCTTCCCTTGACCCTTCCTTTCAGATATATCTGATCTGTGTTGTTTTGTTAATTTATTTAACTGGGTATGAATAATGTTACAGTTTAAACATCCATAAGTAACTGGCCTGACCATAACGTCAAATCCAGATAGTGCATTGAATATGAAGTTTTCCTAAATTTACATTTTATTAGTAGCTCTAAAAATTCAATTTTTCTGAATCATGTATTGAGAACATTTAAAAAATATCCAAACATTGGCCTGACTCTAGTCTTGCCTACTATTATACTTTTTAGTATCTTATATATATATATATATATATATATATATATATATATATATGGTATTTGGGTAGCAATCCCACCTTTTATACAAGTTTCATTAAAAACAACTGATAATTATTACATTACATGACCTGAAGGCCAACAGGTAAATAACATTATAAAAAACTTAATCACAGTACCTTGTCAGTCATTTTCTATGAAACTTATTTGTTTATTTATATATATATATATATATATATATATATATATATATATATATATTATTTTATATGTGCACTACTTATTGGAAAGTGCTCAATATCAGTGACAGAACTAACATATTCAGTTGTATGGATATGAGTTTGTAACTCTGGGTTTCATTCTTTTTGTCATTGCAAAAGCATGAAACCCAGGGTCATAATCTCATATCCATACAACTGAATATATATATATATATATATATATATATATATATATATATTATTATTATTATTATTATTATTATTATTATATATTATTATATGTATATAAAATATATATAGTTATCAGATGAGATGAGGTAATTTAATTTATGGGAAACCTCTTAACCTTAGTGATCCCAAGGCATTTTCCTTAAATGCCCTTTTGTCTTTCATTCTTCTTATCTTCACTTTTGTTACTATTATACATCCTACAAACACACAATTTACACACACACACACACACACACACACACACACACACACACACACACATATATATATATATATATATATATGATAGATACTGAGAGTGACTGGATCACTATGTCCAAAGCCTGGCACATTATTTTTAAAAAGGATTTATGTTGATCTTTACCTTTTTGACTTATATTCATGTCTTTTTCTTTTAATCGCTAAGATAGGTTTGTATTAACAGACTTGATTTGGTGGCAGATCAATTTCCTTGTTTACTCTTTTGTGTTTGCAATTTGTTCATGTTCCTAACCCTTAATTTTTCCTCCTCCTCGTCCCATCAGAAAACCCCAGAAGTTGAACACTGTTCAGGAGAATGGGTCATTTGGTGGGACCCTCTCGACCAAGATGGTTCCAACTTACATGCCGATTCGCTCACTAGGTACCCAGTCCTTTGCAGATCAGGAAACCCAACTCAATTCATACACAAATGCTGCTTACGATGAAGGTAAGATGCTCTTGCAAGCAAAGCATGCACGATGTGAAGCAAAAACCATTTCGCAGCTCCAGTAATCACAGATTAGTAGACAAATATTTTGAAGAGAATTTGTCTTGTTATGTGTGAGTCATGTCGGAATGCGCGTTGGTAAGAATTGCTGAGAACTTTTGCACATGATTATTTTTGGTCTGTTTACATTAGATTATTCCTCTTCAACAATTCTGAATGTTTGATCTTTTGCTTATGTCCAAGTTGGCCTAATTGCTTGCATGCTTTCATTTACGATTTTGGAAAAATGGAAGTGTGGGTATATATAAGAATTAAAAGATTTATTTTTAATCTGACAATTTTTATGGATACTTCAGATTTGAAATAGATGCCTATTTTTATTTATTAAGAATGTGCATTATATCTATTGGTTTGCATATCTGAGAATTCTTAGTGAAAAAAATACATCCCCCAGTGTGTCCCTTGGTAGGGGAAATCACTGTTTTATTGAGTGTGCTTTACCACTCAACTATGAAGAAGATCACAAAAAGCATATTTTTTTTTTATTATTTTAAATGTATTTAAATATTTTTTTAGAATTAAATTCCAAATTATTCTAAAAAATTAAGATTCTAAATAAAATACATCTTAGTTACAAAAACCAAATATTGTCTATAATTTTGATCACTCATTTAAATAAGTTTCAAAAAATTTAAACAACTGATCCAAAAATTTTCTGATAATTTTTTGCTAGTGGATGAAAAGAAATATAAGCCTGGTGCTGCTGTATGGGGGTCACATTATTCTGCACTCAGAGAGGACACCACAGGAAAACCCTGCCCCTGGCTCCCTTGATGGTCTGGTGCAATACTGAATAAAAATTATATTCTGTTATGATTTCGGACAACATCCACTAAATCCTCTCTCCCCAAATGTTCCAAGGATATGCCCTCCTTTTATGGGCAGTGGGGGGGGGGGCAGAATCTACAAAATGAACACATTGAGCTATTATGTTTTTGAGTTCATAATATTTGGGGAATTCTTGTCACAATCTTAGTTTGCAGCTGAATTTGATCTCCAGAATACTCTCTGCTAATATAATTTTGAAACTGAGAATTTCAAACTATTAAGTATTTTTTTCTTTTTAAGATTTCTTCTTGATTTCAATTTCTTTTGTTCTTTGTAAAATGAAAGTCAGTGCTTCACAAACCAATTTGTTTTTTCATTCTTTAAGTGTGTGTGTGGTGGGGGGGGGTGTAATGGTGGCATATGTCATGAAAATAACTCCAGGAAATTGTATGACTCTGCTATAACAGCATATTAATAGAGATATCCATCCATCAGAAACTTTCTTCCATATACCAAATCCATTGAATGTCTAGAATTCCAACAGTCCAAAGTCATACATATCTGGCAAGGATCCTAATACAGAAACATTTCCAAAATCAACATCATGAGGAATATAAGAAACAGGAAATGAGAACCAGTGTCTGTTTAATCTCTTCCTAGATTATGCTCAGCACATATACAAGTACAGATATAAAGAGATGGGCACAGATCATTTAAGCATTTCAGAATACATCACAATTGAATCTACTTAGAAAACAGTGTTTTTGTTTTCCATTCTGAGGCCAATGTACTGATGATGAAGTGGCAGGGACTATGCTGATGACATAGATATTCATAGATGACATAAGAATGAAAAGAAGATGAAAGTATTCCAAGACATAGCACTCAAGATAAACCTTTCCAAAACAGAAACTATGATCTGGAATTGGAATGAAAGCAGCAATGACATATACCCTGAATCCATCATAAAAATTCAAGATGTTGAATTAGTAGATACTAAACACTTCAAATACCTTGGTGTATAGATTAGTCATGACAAATTTAGTACAGGAGGAGATAAGGTAATTGAACATAGAATACACTCTGCTAGAAGTAGTTTTGCTCAACACCACAAGTTGTTACAAAACCAAAACATTAACCTAAAAACCAGCCATGTTCTAAAATAAGTGCATCACATCAATACTTTCATATAAACTCATTCCAAAATATCTAAACTGTTAGCTGTTAGTTGCTTAAAAATGGCTTCAAGCAAATTAAGCTTGTCAGTTTTAGTAAAGACCTTCTTTCTTCAAATCTTGAGAAGTGGAACTAAAGAATCCCAAAGAGCTGTATCAAACAAGAGAAATCACATCATTTGAAGACCAACAAAAGGGGCTACAACTAAAATGGATAGAACATGTAACTCAAAGAAAAAATACTGACAATTTCCAACTCCCTGTTTATTCAAACTTCTGCCCCCTTGCATTAGGCATTCAAAAGCATTTTTCTTTAGGAAATTAGCATTTAGTTTCAATTAGGCATTTTATCTGTTGACTGAACCAAATTTAAAAGATGTTAATCACCAATTTTTGTATCCTGTTCATATATATGCAACATTTGGCATAATTTTAATGCATCTTCACTATGAATACTGGAGATTTAAGTCAGTCTTCTGATAAAAGACCAATGTAAGAATTTCATCTCATTTGTAAATTAAATTTGATGGTGATATCTTCCCATATCTATTATACATTTTAGAATTTATTTCAGCCTGAAATTTATATCAGCCTGAAATTTATTTCAGCCTGAAATAGTTAATTTTCAAAATGTGTATACAAGTCAAAGGCTGCACAGCTGATACAAGTTTTCTTTCAGAATTTCAATGATGTTCCTGTCAATTCCAGTATCATTTAAATTTCTAAATATTAATCTTTATCATTATCAAATTATGGCTGTCATGGTAATATTATCCATTTCCTTATAAGGTAACATTTGGCATTCATAAAGCATGCAACCAGTGTCACTGTCAGTTGAAATTTATAGATTCTTTCTCTTCAAACAATATTTCATAAAAAGAGATTTCTCAACCCCAGTAGCTGTTATTGCTCTTTCCAGTATTGAAGAGGGTTTCCTTTCTAACTTTTTGTTTGATGTGGTTGGGAAGGTCAACATCTTTCATTATTTTCTCTTCAATTTACCTGTGATCTCGATTTTAGCTGTTGCTGCTGTTAGTAGTCCTCAAGTGATGTGGTTTCTGTTATTTAGTACAGATCCTTGCTTGTGATTCTGTAGTGCCAATACACAAGGTTCAAAGAAGTGTGGTCCTTGTTAAACCTACAGCTTTCACCTACTCACAACCATTGGAAAATGGTTAGAAAGGCTTAAGAGACATTATAATAATCCAGGTTGGATTTTGACAATTACTGCATGCATTTTATATATGCATATATATATATATATATATATATATATATATATATATATATATATATATTACACAACAAAATCCAAAAAGTACCTACATGAGAGCGGGGGATAGATCTATTTGTAAGTTTTTGTCAGAATTAGAAATTTAACTTTGACAGCCGTCAAAAAATTGCTAGAGAATTTATCCATTTTGATGTTTTAGTCAGATGAAATGCCCGAGACAATGGTTAAGGGAGGGCGGAAGGTATTAGCCTTAAAGGGAAGAGGTTTTATAAAATTAAACCCAGATATTAACCTTATGACATTAAATTGGGGTTATATGACGAAACAGGTGTTAATTTGAAACTAAAAGAGGGCCGAATACTCTTCCAATGATAAATTATACTTAAAAATAAGATATATTTAAAAAATTAAAACTAAATTATATTTAGATAATTTATATTAAAGTAAGAATATATTTTTAAAATATTTTTATATTAAAGAATAAAAATATATTTAAAAATAAAAATATAATAAGATAAAATAAATTATATGTTTTTAACTTTAAAGATAAGTAAAATCAAGTTATATTAAAAAAAACATACAAAGTTATATTTAAAAAACTAAAAAAAAACTTTAAAAAGTATATAGATAAAGGGATGTAAGTGATAAAAGGCAAGAGAGTTCTTAAAACAGGGGACATAATTAATTTAAGATATAATTAATTTGGTGAAAAAATGGAAATATAGAAATTAGAAAAAGTTATACATTCAACATTTGAAGAGTTTGAGAATTAAAAAGTAGTAAAGTAAAATTTATATACTCTGTTAATAAATACATTGAGCTCTTTTTGTGGATCAGTTTTAATATTTTTATAATACTATGACCCATTTGGATATATATATATATATATATATATATATATATATATATATATATATATATATATATATATAAATAAATAAATGTGCATATATGTATATAGTGTAAGTATTTCTGACTGCAATCTTTACTGCTACTCTACTTCCTCCAGGTAACATATCCATGGAAATTCTATTTTATGCTGAAACAAATTTATATATGTTTTTAAAAGGAAAAACTGTTTTTTCAATGTGACTAAATATTGAAGGATACTGATTTTTCTTTTCCTGTGTGTCTTTTTTTCTTTTTTTTTTTTTTTTTAAATATTTATCAGTTTTGATTATTTGTTAATGTTAGCCATTTTGTCTCTCTAAACAAAATTTGCTTAATTTTTATTTCTTTGCTGTAACTTTAATTTGAAATGGTTTTCGTTTTTGGAGACACGCACACGCACACACGCACGCACACACACACACACACACACACACACAGTTTTTTTTTTTTTGTGTGTGTGTGTGTATATATATATATATAAATCATAAGAAAGAAGAATAAGATTTACAATCCGCTTTATTTATTTTTGCAAAAAAAAAAACAATGCTCGATACAAAAGAGTAGAGGATAATATTATAATTATTTTCTATTTTAAAAATATATATATATCAGTCAATCATATATTACTCAGCCTGATATTTATGACAAAGGGTGTCTCCAATCATTCTGGATAGACACTTTAAGATAAAATATTGAAGGCACTGAGACATTTCTCGTGTAATCGGAAGTGATGTGTGCTGATCATGTTTTCAGAATGAATGTTGACAGCATAACTAACAATTCAGCTGATTGAACACTCACAGGTTGAAATTAATGGAAGAGTCCATCATACTTTTTTTAAAAATTGGTATCATCCCATTCAAGGCAGTAAAGCCACTAAGACACAAGTGATTACAGGGTACTTGTATCCGAGGAAGGCTGTCTACTAGGGTGGCTAGCTAATCCCTATTGCTAACACTTGCTCAGGTACATTTCTGTTTGTTCAACACCTACAGAGCCCACCTGTGGTTTATACTGCAACTATGCTGAGCAGACCTTAGTTACAGTTTCTGGGAGAGAGCACATCATCTAGCATGGTCAACAGTCTGAACAAGGCCAGCACGCACAAAACTCTCAGTCACAATGACTTGTGACTTCATGCTAGCACAACCGTCAACGGCTTCCAAAGAGTTCTGTCTACCCAATTTCACTCACAAGGCTTGGGCCGGCCCATGGTATGTCTTTCAGGCATTTTGCAAAGGTGGCACAAATCAGTCATGGTGAGATTCGAACCTTGGTTATATATATATATATATATATATATATATATATATATATATATATATATATATATACGGTTACATACACACAGTGTTGAATGTCTTCAGATTGGTTGAACTTTAGATTTCATCGGCAAAGTTTCTACAAGTCAACAGTTAATAATTACATTTAACTAAGTAGATTTTTCTAACAAAGTACCATTATGAACTTAGGTGAAACAAGCCAACGACACGTGTCTTCTGTTTGCTACGGTAGTCGCAATTCTCTTTAAGGACCTTTGATAAATTGAGTTACAGTTAAAGTTTGCATATATTAAAAGAGATTCTCGCGAAGTCTATCCGACTCCTAGATCTATCTGTTTTAATTTAAAACAGATATTTAAAACTTTTAAATATACATCTCGTGAAGCCGACATTTTCTTTTTGGGAATATTTTACTTGCGAGACACGTCCGAATTCCTTTTCATCCCGGAGGTAAGCCATTTTCATAAGCGTTTCACTATTACTTACAGCAACTTATTTTGATTAATTATGAATGCGCAGCTTGGCCTATTGTTTTGTCAGTTAATGTCAGACCATTGTCTAATATTTGAATACTTTTTTAAGAGAGAGAATGTACAACATATTGGCCGGAAACTACTATTGCTATTATCTTGAACGAATAAAATTCTAGTTGGGAAGTGTTTAAAAAATTGTCTATTTGCAAATAAATAGATTTTTTTATGTTTTATGAATAAATGAAGATTTTCTTTTTTTCAGCTCTTATTTTTATAAATATGTTGTCACATTTTTTTCTACTCTTTTTTGCCTCTTTTAGATAATGACCCGGCCATTTTCAGGTCCTAAATAATAAAGGGAGACAACTCAACCGATTTAATTGGTGCCTTGTGAACGTCTAAAAAAAAAAAAAAACAACAGAAAAACGAAAAAAACCAAAAAACCAAAAAGAAACAGCCACAACAAATACTTATTCGCTCCAGTTGTGTACAGTACAGAAAAATATCTATATATGTAAATAATTTAACTTCTATTTGGTTGTTTCTTTGTCAGATAACAATCATAACATCCATTCATTTGGACGGTCGTTAAAAAGCAAACAACAGTTACTGTGATTCCCGACCTTCAATCAAACTAATTTCTGATCTTTTAGTTAAATCGCTCATTTTACTCATTTCAAAATGATTAATATGAATTTTGGAACAAGTTTATAAACCTGAATATTATAAATTAACTGATTTAAAATATGTTTTTTTCGCTACACAGTAATAACCATGTTTCAAAAACTGAAGCTAAAAACTTCAAATTTAATTATATAATTAAATTAAAAGCATTAGTTCTGTTTCATCTTCAAGCGAATATTGGAATAACTTATTTTTAAATTTACTGAGTTTTAAACGCACATATAAATTCATGATTTCCTGTTTTCAAGGATACAGAGGAATCCAATCATTCAGACAGGGGCGGTAGCGTGTTCATTTTTATTAACTATTGTTGTATCAATTATGAGTTACGTTCGAAAAAGAAGTAAAGTTTAGGGAGGGTAGGGGTGTATTTTTCAACGAATTCTGACATCCGTCGTCTGGGGTTTTTGGGTTTTTTTTATTAACGGCAAAAAGTTTTTCGGCATTTTTTTCGTACTTCTATATTTAAAGATTCTTTTTAGGTGTGTTTGTGTTAGAATACGTTTTATTTAACTACAATTTTAAAATATTTTTACTCTTAATTACTAATAAACTATATTTCTTTTGAAAACAATAATTTTGTAATAGAATTACTTACATTATTTAAAATTATTTTTCATATCAAATATAAGTATGTATATTACAAGCTCCCATTTTTTGACTTTATTTTTAAATATTATTTAAGGAAATTTTTTGACAATGACGGCAAAAAATAGCTATTTCATTTCTCTGATTCAGTAAATTTTTATTTTTTATAAACTTAGTAATATATAGTTTCTCATGTATGCACAAAGGACATGGGTCATTTAATGACCCACATATTCTAGCCTTTCTTATTAATTTCCATTTTACTGTAGGTGTTCTATTGGATTCTTTTAAGTGCCAGAAATATGCCTGGATACAAACTTTGAAATATGCCTGGATATAAACTTTGAAATATGCCTGGATTTAATCTTTGAATCAATAAAATCATATCCAAATAAACTGGTTTGCTTTTTCATGGGAAGATCATCATCAAAACGGGTTGTTATGTATGTTCCAAAATTCTTTTTCCGTCCCGGAGTTACTCCAGTCCTACGGTTTTTAACATATATTTTTTAAATATTTCCCAGCAGGCCCCTGGGTACAGTAGATTTTACAAATAGATAGAAATTTCCTTCAGGTGTGTCTCATAGTTTGTTTGTTTTTTAAGAGTGGCAGCAGAAATTGGAACAATATTTTGATAGAAATTTGTTTATTTTTACAAGAAATTTAATCAGCTTTGAGATTTTCCACTGCTCCATTTTCTTTAGCTTTATCTTTGAATTATTCTTGTTAGCGCCGATCATTCCCTCATTGAAATGACAAAGGTTTTAAAACCATTCTGTATTTAAAAAAAAGAAAAGTTAAAGATGATATTTGAATTACATTTTGATTGACAACTATTCTCAGGTTTTTTGTATGAATCTAACAATTCAAGTTAATGAAAATTTAATTTGAAGATTAGTTTTTCTTCTCGTCTTATTTTTGTTGCTTTTTTATCACTATGTTTATGGTATGAAGTAAAGAACAATTGAATAATTAACGTTCTTGCTAACTTTGGATATGTGTTGTTTCACTTTAGCCTAATTGATAAAATGACTCTACATGATCAGACATCCAAGATTATGGGATGAGAGTTCAAATTGCATCCAAAGCAGGTTCTTTATTTTCAGTTCATGTTGTTTAATGTCTGTAGAATTTAAAAACAAGAGGAAAAAAAGTAAAAGCAATAATGATTCATCAAGGAGATCTGACCGAAAACTGGAGATTTTTTTTGTTTATAAAATAATTAAATAAAATGTTATAAAAATTTCAGAAGAAAGTAACCATGGAAAATTTTCTTTGTAAATTTGTGTTTTTCTTTTGCCGATTTTAAATCCAAAATTCTTGTTGTTTTTTAAAAATATTTTCTAATACTGTATTTTCAATAAACCTTTTTAAAAATTTGACAGCATTTGTTTTTCTTTAAAGGTACACAAAAGTTTATGAAAAACTTTAATGAAATGTAATAAAAGTTATTTTAGGCAATCTTGAAAAATAATGCCAAAAAATGTCGCTGTTATTTGCATTGACGCATGTGCTCATCTGTGATTTTGTTGCTGGTTGTAACTGAGTGAAAATGTATCAGAAGGTAATCTATGTAAAGGCAAAGATTACGCGTGCTTATTATGCATTATCCCACAACATGTAGATCAAATAAAGAATATAAGGACAATTTGTATTGCAAGAAATTACTAAAAACACAGTGGTTAGAGATCCAACAATAAAGAGATTTTTATATATACAATAGATATACATGCAAGGATAACAGAATGTTTGTTGATTGTGGCAATTGAGACAAGGTTATGAAGAATGTTCATGCAGAAATTTGGTCAATAAAAGTTAATTTATTTCGATTTGTTAGTGAAATTAAAATAATTTGGTTTCTGCAAGGAAAAATCTCAAATGTGTTCGTTCAAATATTAGTGTGTATGCGTGTGTTACTTGTTAGTTAGAATTTAGGTTGTGAAGAGTTGTTTGCCTTTAACTGTTGGCTAAATTGATGAATTGTACAATTACTGTTTGTGTAATGAAAACGTTCACTTTTTAAGTCAATTGTAATTTGATTACCACGCGGACAATGGTCGATTGAGTGCTGTGTTGAGTTTGTTGAGAATTTTGAAGTGATGTTGAGCCAGTGAATTGACAAAAAAAAATATGAAAAAAATGAGGACAACAGTCCGAATAATGTAAATAGTGTACATAATACCTCATCTCAGAAATATAGACAGATAATTAATTTATTACGCAAAAATCTTTTTACCCTGAAAGAACTGCAAAGCATGCATGTTGCATACATGAACCATTTTTGTCATTGGTGTTCTCCTTTTGGTGCCAATGGCAGGTGTCCAATCCCAGGTAAGAGCCAGAATTTCAAATGATAATGTTTAAGACATTTTTTTTTATTTGAAATATCCGTCTTCAGATTTCACATTACTTCCACTTTAGCCTTGTGCCAGACTTCACTATTCTTTGTAAATTGAGTCTGGTAACTATTTCAAATGATTTTTCTTTTTTTATGGATGGTAGACCACCCACTTTGAAAGATGGTGCAATACAATCTTCTGTTCCCCATTTGACTATGCTTTAGTAAGCTAACATAGTTAATACCAAGACTTCTTCCTTAATCAGGTGTTTGTTATTTTTCTTTCAAAAACACTTCTTAGTCAACCAGTGTAGTTGCCTAGCACAAGACCGTAATACTAGGGGTGCTCAATGTAGCTTGAACAAGTGAATTATTCTGGGAGATTAGCTTGTTAACCATCTCCCCCCGGTAACTACCCCAGCGTCCAGAGATAGCAATTGTACTCTAGCCCTTAATAATAAGTGGTTCACAAACATTGCTCTTGCCTAAGAGATCTTCTCACCAACAACTAGTAATTTGGTTGATGCATCAAAGGGTTTTATTCCAATTGAGTGTCAGATAAATTTCACACATAGCAAGCAGAAAGTCTGGCTCTAGTAATTACAAAGTGGGGTATATTGTAAATATTTTGTGTTCGTCTTGTCTGGTTTTCGCACGTCGAGACCATCTCTCTCGACTGAAAAAAAAAAACAAAAAAACACTGGCTCTCCCACTCCCAGACCTACGCTGACTATTGGCTAATACCTGTCCAGTATCGTTCATAGGCAAATAGGCAGCGCCACCTACTCTAAGTACAAGGTCTTCTCTCAACAGCCCATTGTGTTTACCGGGCTGACCCGATTCTCTGTTACATATTTCTAAGGTTATTTTACTTGTGTCATCCTGTAAAGAGGTATTTGCCACAGAGGAGCCCCTAATCTTGGCACATGGAACTAGAACAGTATACCACAGCGATGAAATAAAGGGTTCAGTTCGATATTCCAACCACCTGAAGAAGGCCGGAGCGTACAACGACCGAAACGTTGTGATAAATATGGCGACAAAGATGAGGAAAATAGTCCGAATAATGTAAATAGTGTAAATTAATTGATAACTTTTACTATTCTCCTTTTACTTGTGATAATTTAAAAAAAAAACTACTCCCGTTTCTTCATTTCTTAGTATAACTTGGGAACTAGTGATATTAGTAGAGTAGTATAAGCATAGAAAGCCTATGATTCCATACACCATTCCTTTGCCAGTTCTATGCACAGACACTGAGGATGTGAAAGAACCAAGGGAATGAAAGTTGGAGGGAACAAGTTGAGTTAACGGGAAAAATACTTTGGAGTTAGCTGCTTCTTCGCATTTTAAAAAACGCCATTATTTGTTGATTTTATTTTTTCAGATTTCTCTTGCAAGCATTGACAATCATCATGGACTACATGCCGTGTTTTCAAAGCCAGCCTTCACCACTGGAAAATACAACTATCTTAGTTAATAAGCAGGCAAATAAATCAAAAAGAGTTTTTTTTTTAAACAGGAGTGAATCGTTCCAAACCTCAAATCTCAAATTAAAACTAAAAGCAATAGCAAATCATTAATCATAGCTCAAGTATTTAGGTCGATTCATCCGAGTGACTTCAGTACAAATATTTACATTTTATTATTTATTCAAGAGGACCACATTTAATGTTTAAAGTATTATCACATATTTTACACGAAGGAAGATTTGATTGCATTGAAATGAGTCAGTATTT